TCAAGGAAAGGGCCAATTTAGTATCGCAAAAATAAAGTTTAAGGACCAACTTGGTCTAATACTCAAAGTTTAGATACCAAAATGGTGATTTAACCTTCTCATTTTCCTCTCCCTATATCATCTTTTCTGTTGTACAACTTGTAACACTGCTTTCATTTTTTCCGTATTCCCCCCTATTTCAGTTTCCATTCTTGCTTCTCTCACCTAGAAGACGCAGTAACTGCCATCGGAGACTCTCCGGTAAACCTCTTCTGAAAAGGCCTTTACTTAACGAAATTTCTCTCGATTTCCTCAACGTTCAAAATCTCTCCCAGATTTTTCGTTCGATTCCGGTGGACTCCTGTTCCCCTCATCGCCGTTCCTCAACTCAACCGCAGAAATCAAGGCCGGTCGTCGTAAATGAGCACAAGGAACCGATCTCGACTTTGATTGAGCCCTGCTTTTCAAATTTTCTGGAGAAAAGAAAGCTTTTAGTCTCTTTTTAATCCGTTTTGTCGGTAACCAAACTTAAGACATCTTTTGATTGAGTTTTAACTTTTAATTATGCATGAAGTTAAGTTACCTTTCTTTTAGTTATAGATATTATGAAATTATAGAGATACGGTCAAAGGTTTAACTTCGATGGATGATTTTCATGATATCATCATTACTAGTATAAGTTTTCAAAATTAAGACAAAAAAAAAAAAAGAAAGCAGGTTCTAAATTCCTATTACTTTCTAAAATGATATATTTATAGTATCACACGATAATTTATAACATGATGTGTTTATTGTTTTTTTTTTTTCACTTTATATGCATATAATCTGATTAAACAAAACTGATTATGGAAAATTGAACTTTTGCAGGGCGTGATTGGTTTAAATAAGTGGCTGAAGCTATGAATGTTAGGGGAAATAAATTTGTGAGGTTAGCCTCTTTAAACATTAACTTTAAGTTCTATTTAATTGCGCTAAAGTTTGAATACTAAACTTTTTTTTTTTTTTTTGGCTTAATTTTTCATTTGGTAACTTCTAATCATCGCATCAGTTGTGAAATTAAATGTTTTACTTTGTGGAATTCTTTTGTTTCACCTAGCTTTGAATCAGATAAATCTTTAACTGAGCGTTATGCTGATGCAATTTTCCCGAGAAAAGTTAGAACCTCTCTGGCTTCTGTTATGGAAAGTGTCCAGAGAGGGGTTGAGATGGGTTCTCAAAGGGTCAAAAGCTTCAGAAAACCTATGAACGTAACGTCTCCCCGTAACAAGTCAGAAAAAGATTCAGGTTCTTCGAAGAAAATTCTTGATCCACAGGGATCTTTCCTTGAAATCTGGAATAAAATATTTCTCTTAGCCTGTATAATTGCTTTGGCACTGGACCCTCTTTTCTTCTACACCCCAGTGGTTGTGAATGACGGAACCCAAAAATGCCTCAATCTGAATAAAAGACTGGCAAACATTGCCTGTGTCCTTCGTACACTCATCGATGCCTTTTATATAATTCACATGATCTTTCAATTCCGAACTGGATTCATTGCCGCTCCTTCTGGAGTCTTTGGTAGGGGTGACTTGATTGTTGATCCTTGGGCTATTGCAAAGAGGTACTTTTTCACATACTGCATCATCGACGTCCTGTCAATTCTTCCACTTCCACAGGTTTGTTCCTTCTCTGTAGTAAGTTCCAAGTAAGTTCTTCAATATCATTAAAGAAAAGATTACAACTTAACAATTGTTGTTACTTTGTGTTCTCTCTCAGCTTGTAATTTTGCTTGGCCCTTCATTGAAAGACCAGCCGGTTGCATTTCTAACGAAGGAGTCATTGAGATACATTATTTTCTGTCAATATGTACCGAGGATTGTTCGAATTGTTCCCCTTTATATAGAAGTTACACGAACTTCAGGCATTATCACTGAGACTGCTTGGGGTGGAGCTGCTCTGAATCTATTCCTCTACACGCTAGCCAGCCATGTAAGTGTGTGTGTATTTTTTTCTTTTTTTTTCTTTTTAAGGGATATTTTGGATTTCCTTACACTTAAATAAACCTTTCAATTCCAGGTTCTTGGGGCCATCTGGTACATGATTTCAGTAGAAAGACAAGAGCGGTGTTGGGGTGATGTTGCTGGGAGTTATAACCGTAGTCTTTTGTACTGTACATGTAATGATTCGGCGGACCATGGACTAGCCGAATCATTTCGTGATTTGCAGAAAGTCCTGAATACTTCCTGCCCTTTGATCGAACCTGACGATATTAAAAATTCAACAGACTTCAATTTTGGAATATTCTTTGAAGCACTCCAGTCAGAGATTGTGGGAACTAGGAGTTTCCGTAAAAAATTCTTTTACTGCTTCTGGTGGGGTCTGCGTAATCTCAGGTTTGTATATCACAATCTCCTTATTGATTATTGAA